CGCTCACGCACGGACACATTCAAACAGAGCTTTACCTCGTGCGGAATAGAAACAGACAAAAAAGAGGGAGGAAAGGATTACACTGTGCTCAAGGAGAGAGCAGGTCAAGAGTGAGGAATGGAGAAGGGGAAACAAAACAAGAGTCAAAAGGGCAACATGTGCACGTCAGAGAACAATGGGGGAGGAGGGGAAAAATACCCTCCTTACGTCCCACACTATCTTTTCCCCCGAGCGTGGAAGAAATCACAGTTCTTTCATTCCGGAATCGAGTTCTCAGAGAGTCAGAGTGTCCGGCCCAAAGTGGCGTTTGCTATTATCCTTTCGCATTCAAATATCGCAATTCGCTCTTCGTTTAATAGGAATAACAACTTGTGCCCCACGTGCAGTCCACAACCACTGAACAAGGTGCGCGCGCGCGCACGAGCGAGCGTGCGAGAGAGAGAGAGAGAGAGAGAGAGAGAGAGAGAGAGAGAGAGAGAGAGAGAGAGAGAGAGAATTGCGCAGACGATGAGCTCGTCTTTTTCTTTTTGCGTTGTTTATTTCCCGGCCTTTGCGACGTCGTTTCCACTTCGTCCATACCGGACTGTTGCCAAGCTCTGTCAAAAGGCAGTTAATCACACTCTTGTATCGGAGGGAGCACATCGCCCTTGTCTCGCGGCCACTTTATGCCGCACGACCAAGGCAGAGACACACACACACACACATAGAGGGATAGAGACCGAGAGAGAGAGAGAGAGAGAGAGAGAGAGAGAGAGAGAGAGAGAGAGAGAGAGAGAGAGAGAGAGAGAGAGAGAGAGAGTGAGAGGCACCAAACGCCAACAGTCTGAATATGCGCATCACCAGACCACGCACGGATGTGCAAGATAGAGCATGGGCCTCGCTCCACTGCATTCCACAAGCACAAAAGACAAAAAACATGCCGCATCACCAGACCACGCACGGCTGTGTATATTTCCAATTTCTAGGAGAAGATTCATTCTCATTTTGCACATTTGGAGACAGTGGAGCGAGGCCCATTCATCTGCCGCAAAAACAAAGAAAAATACACCCCGTATAGGTTTTGTCTTTTTCACGTTGCGTCTGGTGATGCCCTGCATCCGGACTACGGATGGTCCACATGCATTCCGAATGGGGGGGCGAGCCCGGAGAGGCCAATTTATGTTCCTTTCTTTCAAGAAAAAACAAAGATACGAGGTGGACAGCTATGCTTGCAGGGGTCCCCTGTACAGCCTTAGGAGTAGAGAGAGAGAGAGAGAGAGAGAGAGAGAGAGAGAGGGCACAAACCCGAGAGAATTGGATTGCTCTATAAGTCCGCAAATATATTAAACCACCAGTACTTGGCCCAGCTATCGGCCACAGGAAAAAAAGAGTAGAAACGTTTCTAGTCGGATGAATTTGGCATATTCTATAGTGGCCCATACGTTTCCTAAAACCGTGGCTTGTAAACGGGCAAAACTTTAGGAAGTACTGGTGGTTTAAGCAGCCACACCAAGCGTATGACAGCGAAGAGTGACGAACAGCACATAACACCATAAACTGAGCTACTGAGATGGCCGTGTGCCCTGCTTGGTCTATACTTGCAACCGTCGATCCCTAGCCTGCGCCATCTACAACTACTAAAAGGGCGGAAGGCCCTGCCTATCGCCCCTTGACAGTTCTAAGGCACTCGTTATTGCAGAGATCGCCTTCCCCGAACGCTGGTGCAACGTGCCCTCCGCCGCATTAACCCGTTCCTCGGTAGTCCCATCGGACACTTCACAGTAGACGATGCTTTGAAGACGAATGTCCTTGCCTCTCGCCCTGCTGCAGGAGGACGTCACCCTGAACGATGGATGTGGTTCGCTGCTTAGCACTTCTTCCAGAGGATGCCGAAGGCCAGACGGAACTTGGTGTCGTGGGAGTCGAGGAACATTGCGGCCTTGCCGCCTTGCACCCTGACCACCGTCTTGATGTTCAGGTTGGGAACGCCGTTGCACTGGCTCCACACCACCGTCAGGAAATTGTCCGTGGCCTCGAAGCTCTTGCTCTGCGGTCCGTAGAATTTGCGGCTGATGGTGCACGTGCCCGTTTGTCCGGAGAAGTAGTAGCTCGACTCGTAGACTCCCAACGAGTGTTTGCCGATGGCTGCGAACCCGCGGCCGGTCGCCTTCCCCAGCGTGAA